GGTGTGTGTGTGTGTGTGTGTGTGTGTGTGTATGTGTGTATGTGTGTGTGGGTATGTGTAAGTGTGTCTATGTATGTGTGGCCCTTTATATTGACCCTTTTAGACTTCTACAATACGTGCACACGAGTGCATGTACTCAAAGGCATATAAGAATAGAGGACAGTCGACTTGCTACACTTGCATACGCACATACTAATTCCTTCCACACGCGATGCTTGCGAATCACCTCCCCAACGTCAATCAAATACATAGGATCATTGTCAGGGAAGGCCTGTTCGGCGATGGACTCCATAATCTCCCGTTTAGTGACTTCACGAGCCTCCATCGTGTCGACTGTGTCAACAACGTTTCGAGAAACCATACTTCTTTGCGTTCGACGTGAAAAGCTGAGGTGGTCTGCAAGACTTGCACGCGTATTTATGTGATTTTCAACTCAAGCAAACTGCTGCAGTCACTATCTCATAAAGTGCTAAGAGGGTCTAGAGCGTTAGTGTGCCTATTTAAATACACTGTATCCTCATATATTTCGCAAAATCGGTCCGCGTGTATTGAAAAACTAGTTGGGATGGAGATAAAGACCAGTTACAGGTTGCTGCGTCAAAAAAAAAATAGTGTTCCTGTCCTCCAGACAAATTTCCAAAACAGTTCAGATTACCGAAGATTATTGGAGCCCTCCTTCAATTTTCGCATGTGAGTCTTGTTGTGATATTTGACATGTGACACTTTGACGTCTTGGACACTGTTCAGTTTGTATGATATTTATGTATAATATTAAACTATTTTTATAAAAATATTTGTTCTATTTTCATAGGGCTATGAAACAATATGATTTTTTTAAATAAAAATTTAATTTTTTTTCTTCTTTTAAATTTGTTTTTTTTAAAACAACAAACAAAAACAATAATATTTTTATATTTAGAGAGAAAGAGTCAGAGAGATCTTCTCTTTGAGGGGGGGTTAAAGGACTCAAAGGAGGGGGGCCAGAGGGGGGTATCAGAGGCCAGAGGGTGGGGCCGTGGGCTTGGGGGGGAAAATGGAATAAGGAAATATATAAAATTATCCCCATCACGCATTATTTACATACGCATATTCAGGCCTTTACGCCTTACGGCCTAGCCGCCTATCCCACTCTCAACCGGGTCCCTAATCCAGACTCCAGGGCCCAGGCTCCCCAGACTCAGAGTCTATTTTATTTATTTTTTAAACTTGTGAAATTTACCAGGCCGGCATTGCTGGGGACTTGCTGGTCCAACCGTCCATCGCCCGCCCTCTCTCTCAGTGTGCACTAGAAGTGTGAAGTGTCAACTGTGTGTGCGAAAATCACTATGTAAATAAAAATCTGCTTCCCTGTTCCCATCTCAATGTCAGGACTCAGGACTCAGGACTCAGGAGCTCTAACCTTAGTAACCTTAAGACTTAAACCTGAAAGCTCAACAGTCTCTACTTCAACTACTACTCTAGCTCTAGAGTAGAGGTAGAGAGTAGAGTAGAGTCTCCTCGAGACCTCGACGACCGTCCTGCCAGTCCCAGTCCCCAGGTGTAAATACAGTATGTAATCTGTATGTAAACATACCCATTTTACCCAACTATCGACAATACTAAAGCAAATAAATAACTCTGGCAGAGTGCCTCAGTGCACTCTGTATGAAATACTCTGCCACACTGCCAGGACTCCAGACTCCAGACTCCACCCCAGAGAGTGCCAGTATTTTTTATAGGTTCACCCTTCACACTTCACAGTCATCCTTGTTTTTGTATTATATTTTCTTTTTTTAAAATATAAACTAAACTAAACTTTCAAGAAGGCAAAAGATCACAAAATAGTTCCTGTGACGTCGTGACGATATTTTATTTATTTCCTGGGATAAATAGTACTAAAACAAAAACAGGAAAATTTTATGAGCGACATGTTTTGTCCATAGATACACTTCAAAAATGTATTAAAAAAACCAGAATTCGTTCTATAGTGAACTAGCTATTGCGTGTCGTATGGCGCCCAGTCACTCAGTGGGCCAGAGCGGACAGATTCAGCAGCGAGTCAGCGACTGATGTTGGGTTCAAGAGGACCAGCCTGTAATTTTTAATATAAATATTGATATTTGTACCCTTTATATAAACAAGTATCACATAAATGATATTTTGATGCACTATAAGCTATAACGGTGTAGCAATATTGTCTCATGTTGTGTATCTATTTTAATATTCTACGGCGTTATCTTCAATAAATCATACCCTATAGCGGTATTTTGTACATGGAATTTTTTTTGCATATTATTTTTGAACTTCTGTTGTGTATCTATTTTAATACCCTACAGCGTTATCTTAAATAACAAATACCCGATAGCGTTATTTTGTACATGGAGATTTTTGCATAGTTTTTTTTTAAAAGTACAGGTCCTTGCATATACAAGAAAGCTAATGTACATGTACATGACATATAGCACGTACACGTAACACGTACACCATGTACATGCATTAACTTTAAATTTGTCGAAAGCAAGACAACTACATTTTGCATATGAACAGGCTTTATAAGACATGCTCAAATGCTCTTATTTGTAAATAAATTAAAAGACGTACAAACCTGAAATTATAGCCTTCTGTCTATTATTTTGAAGAAGACAACTATGTATTTTTCAGCCTTCTACTCTCTCTAGAGTAGAGCTAGAGTGACAGGCTTCAAAAATATGACGCACGCAGAATTAAAAAAAACCTGCACTCTCCCTTCGTTTATTTTATCTTAATTTTTTTATAGCTGTAAATTAAAAAACAATTGATGGTTTATAATTTATATCAACTACAAATTTTTAAAATATACATGGTTTTTCTAAAACTGTGTATCACGGCCAAATATCAATCACCAGCTGACCATCCTTGGCCCTCGGCCCTCAGCCCTGCCCCTCAGTCTCGAGCCCTCGGCCTTCGGCAGGCTGCCAGCCCTAATTGGATCGAGTACCTTCTGTGAGTCCTGACTCCTGAGTCCTGAGTCTTGATGAGTCGTGACTCCAGCAGTCCAGCTCCAGTAGGCCTCGCCGCGTACAAGAAGTCACAGACTCACAACCACAGGGACCGTAACAGGGCACACTCAACACTGGCACAGGCCACAGCTTGGCACAGAACAGGATACAACCTTGAAGCCTGACCGCCTGAGGCCCTGAGGCCTGAGCCCCTGGGCTTGTGGCCTGAGCCCACAGGACACTCACGCAGGCCATACTGGTGGCACACGGTCGACGGACGGGCGGACTTGTAAATAATTGAATTTTTTTCAAAATGAATATTTTTTAATTAGCTTCGTTCTATTTTTGTTAATATTAAGAATAGCTAATAGAATCTTTCTAATTATAGCTCAAGTGCTCAACGTAAGGTTTTCTTTAAAGTTGCGCAGAAGGAGTATCAAAAAACTATATTTTCATTGGACATACTTTGAACAAAAGGGTGATAATAATTAGTAAACGCTTTTGTTTAGTAATAATTTAAGAAAAACCCCTAATATGTATTCTTGTGATGACGATCACTGGTTCACTACGTCACAGCTATATATCTCGCTCTTACTAATCAAATATAGATGTTTTTGGGCGGGAGAGGGATAATTCTCTTTATTTCAAGTGGTCAGTAGCATACATTCCTAAAAAAAATGTATTTTTATAAACCAATTGAACTATTTTTAAGTAATTTTCTCCAGTTTGTTTTTATATATAAAAACTCATCCCTTTAAGCATTGCCTTCTGAAAATAGAACACTTTTTGCGAGATCCAAACTTGCGCGAGACCTAAATATGTATTTATTTAAATACCGTACATACTCTCGACGAGTGGCCATGTCAGCCGAAGCCGGGGACTCGGTTGGGAGTAAAGATTGCGCCAGCTGACCAAGGACGTGAGAGCTTTTCAGTTTTTCTTTTGCCATATTTGTAATAAAAACATGGGCTAGTACCGAACTGCACGCGGTTACCTGGCTCCAAATGCACCCACGCGTGGTACATATAAGTGAGAACTTACCTAACCCAGGGGTTGCATCTTTAAAATATCGCACAGTACAAGCGGCCCCTCTTTTCAGCTGACCATAAAAATAGTCACCAAACTTGATATCAACTTCAAGGAGTGATTCTTATTTTTTTTTGAAGCACGTGCAACGCTACACATACTTGCTTCAAGAGGGCAAGCAATACTGCTCTTGACATACATAAGACCACAATGATGCACAAGAAGATACTGTATACCGTATTACCCCAACTACAATGAGTCGGATGCAGTAGAGCTGTGGCCACCAAAGTCAGAATTCTTTCCCAGTGTGTATATTCTCGGAATCACCTGAGCATGAGCAGTTTTAGTAGCTTTTTCTCCCCCCGGACAATGTGTTATTTCATTTGATCTTGATATTCTAGACTGGCCGGATATTTTCTACAACAGTCAAACGCACCGAACGCATATTCTAGGTTAGTTGGTTCAGCCATTCATTTAATCTTCTACAAAATCGGAATGGTCGCGAATTCAAATCTTATCTTGGATATGTTTTGTAATGGAACCCAATCAAATGGTACTAGGTCAGCACTATTGCCGAGTGCGGAAGGTTCGAGAATAGTGGTGATCCCAGCGTAGAACGCTCAGACAAATCCACCCATGAGCGGATTATACGGAATGAGATCGAAGTACTCGTGATGACACTTTCCAACTTTGTACTAAATTAGAAGAATGACTGAACCAACTAAGCCAGCGTTCGGTTAGTTAGTTTAGTCATATAGCTTATTTACACGCCAGTCATTTTAACACTAACTTCTATCGGATATGATAGGTATTTAAAGCTGTGAACAAAGTGGCATTCTAACAGATTCTAATCCTCTACAATCATATTTGCCATAAAATTACTAAAATAGGATTTCCCATGTTTTTGGATTTTATTCGGCAGGAAAATTTTATGATGCTTATTATTGAATTAAATATGATTCTGCTCACAGGATACCTCCCAAAGTGAGCCAAAAGTTCTCAGATCACATTTATAGCAAATTAATCTCTTTGACATATAGAGTTCATCTGGGGTAGCTTACTCCCAAGAGCTGTTTACGATTCTAAACCCCAAAACGTTGAGTATATTACAACTTAACCGACTTTTGACCGACTTCCGAGAGTTGTTTCAGTTTGCTAAATGCACAATCTAGAATACTTACGTCTCTATGTGAGTAAGCACAGCATGTGCGGAGAGATTACAAAGTTTCGAAGAAATATAAATTTAATAGCATCAAAGTGTGTTGAATTGTTCTACCAAAACATTCTCGTACGGACCATATGAGTTACTATTCTGGTCAACCCAATCTGTTGAACATCTTCACACACATCTTAAGGTGTGAGGAATAACCCCAAAAGTATAATATGACATAGATTCTGACGAGTGTATCACCTTAGCCTGCCCACAAAGTTTGTACGTTTTTTAGAAACATAATAACGTCCTCATTTATGTCCTGTTTACCAACATACGCTCTGTGGACAAAGTACCTTAGGTGAAAATCTATGGCACCAGAGAACCGGACCGATTAGTGAAATAGAGAATACAACGAGATAGAAGTGATGATTCATTCAAAACCATAAAGACGGGTATT